AGAGAGAGAGAGAGAGAGAGAGAGAGAGAGAGAGAGAGAGAGAGATTTGTATACCTTGCACATGTTTGGAGGGCAGAGATTGCAGCCATGGGGTGATGTAAGAAAATCAACGTAAGGTGAGATTATCAGCGTCCCTTCGCCATTAATAAAGCTCGGGTTCGAGTTTATTTCTGAGAAGCAGTTTCTTATTCCAAGGTGATCAAGAATCGTCTCGATGAAAAACATGTTTGCATCACTCACTATCCTCAAATCACACCTGAATAAAAATAAATAAATAAAAATTATTAGCCCAAAAAACAGAGGGATTTTAAAATTAAAAAAAAATAATAATAATCTAACATAAAAATCTTGAAAAAAGAAAAAAAAAAAGATAATAATAAACTCACCCTAAAGCATAGGAACCCTCTTTAGGACATCCTTAATCTCCTCAATTGTTTTCCCATTTGCATGCATCTCTTTCATCATCCTCTCCTATATTTTTTTATTTTAAAAAACGATTAATAAACCCAATAAATATTACAAAAAATATGAAATTCGGAAAACGAAAAAAAAATCAAGAACTCACCATTAGCGAATTCCACGGCATGGTGGGAAGAAGCTCGTCGAACAAATCGGTGGCGCCAAATTCATCCACTACCCAATTATCGCTATCCACCTCGATTATTGTCTTGTCGAAATCCAAAATCACCATAATTCCGGCCATCGGCTTTTTTTTAATAATAATAAAAAGATGATATAAGAAATTCTTTAGGTATTTTTGTATGTATTTGTATGTGTATATATATATATATATATATATATATATATATATATATATATATATATATAGGAATGGTTGTGCAAAGAACCTAGTTAGAATACAAATGGAACGCAAAATGGATGTGAATTTTATTAGATGCCAATGGAATATTATTATGCAGTACATGTTTTTGTGGTGAATTAAAAGCAAGGCAGTTCAAATTGCTCTGTTGTTTAAATTAAGCCGTTGGATCTGGCTAGATTGGGGGTGTGGTGAATGATCGGACGGTGCTCATTTAGTAGGGAGATTTATTGGTATGCGGCAACTAGGGAATATTCCGTGGGAATTTGAACAGAATATTTGTAATTATTTTTGTTGCCCCTAGGGGCAATGTTGTAATTCTACTTTTATTTTACAGTTCTTTGCTGCACATATGCACACGTCCAACTTCCCTCCTAACTTATCCCGTCCACCAATGGAAAATTAGATGCTACACGTGATTATTTATATTGGGTGTATTTGGACCGTAAAATTGTTCATAATTACACACATATATATATATGTGTGCTTCGTGGGTAGTTATTTAATTAAATTTACGATGCAAATCCACCCAAACTAGGTGTAACATCTAACTTCCCGTCCACCAACCCTGTACTAGCCATTGGAGGCCTTCTTTCCATTTCACTGAGTTTCTTCCATTAAAGACTCGATTTTCCTTATTGCGAAAAAGGTTTAAAGTTTAAACAACAATTGGAAGTAAAAAAAAAAAAAAAAAAACACATGGCAAAAGAACTAGAAAAAGTCCATGATAATTACACTTTTGGTTTCTATATTTTACACCAAAATTGTTTTCAATGCCTATGATGGAGGTCGATTTAACCACCATCAATGTTGGCTCTTCTCGAACACCTTCCTCTACCTCGATCGCCGGAAAATTATTCCGTTCACCTGAAATCTCGGGGCTTGAGCCCCGGGGACACCCTCCGACGCTCAAGTTAATTGGGGAAATAATTCAAGAAAGAGTAAAATAATAGGAAAACGAAATAGAGAAGAAGACGATGTGAGATCTGTGATTTGATCGTGTATTTTAGTGTGTGTAGGAGTGTGTATTGTGTGTAAATAAAGCGTACCTTCTATGGTGGAGAATATGCAGTATTTATAAGTCATACCTACTCTTGAGGCTTTGACATAATTTTGAGCCCATTAAACATGATAAAGTTGGGTCATGACCCACCAATGAAATCCAATCTAAAAAAATTACATAAACCCAATAGAATGCTAAATTGGTCATCATCAGCCTATATATTTTATTTGCCACGATTTAGTCCTTAAACTAATCATTTTGTTCCATTTTGGCCCGTTATCTGATTTTGGTGTTAATTTGTTAGTTTTTCCATTACTCCTTTCCATTTCCCCCATACTGCTTTCATGGGCTTATCATTGACAGTTGTTCGGAGGTTACAAAGCTTATAAAAGCATGTCATTCCTTATCTATATTATATATAAAACTAAGATACACAATCAAAGTTTTCTAATTGAGGAGATTGAGTCCACATTTTATTATTAATTTCAAAATAACCCCACTTACCATAATCACCATATTATTATGTAATTGATTTCACATAATTAATTTTTAAATTTTATCTCTCCTACATGTCAAAATAGTGTCTTTTTATTGGTTATTTAGTTTCCTTTTTTAATTCATTTTTTCATAATAAATACGTTAATTCTTTTTTTGGGTTCATTAAATTTTATACACAATATTATATTAATTGCAAAAAAAACTCAATTATCATAATCATCTATATTATTAATTAATTAATTTGACATTATTGATTTTAAAATTTTATCTCTCCTACATGTCAAAATAATGTCTTTTTATTGGTTCATGAGTTTTT